TTCAATGCTTCGTGCGGTATTTAGTGATGCTTTTTTAATTTAAGCACTCCGAATGCATAGGTACATATGTATGTATGTATACACTATACACTAATATTCTACATTAAGATGGAATTCTATTACTGAATAAAATGTGAGGAATAGGTAAATTAAATATGTTTTGCGTTGTTATAAATGTATTGAAATTAATTTATTAATAAAAACGTGAGGAAATGGATATGTATATAAACTTTTTACTGAATCAAAAAATTATTAAACATGATAATAAAAACTTGGCGCTTTTGTTTTGGAAAAATTGGCTTTTTCTGGTGGCCTCATGCCACACTGCCTCAGTTGTCGCAAAAGTACACATACGTACACGCATTTTTACTTGAAAATAAGTGTGTAGTGGTTAATATGTATACGATGCCATCTCCGTACAGCTCACTTCACCTCGCCTAGCACGCTCGCATGCGCGCAGTTTGCCCGCGACGTCGACTGCGTGCACCTCTGCTGTGCATCCCTACTAGGGATGCCCAAATCAGCACATATGTGTCGCGGCCGACTGCGCGTGCAAAGCTTTGCACAGCGGTGCTAGGCAAGCGCGGAAGCAAAAAGTTATCGGAAGGGGAAAACGAAGTCAACAGAATAGTCAGATTGTATGTGTGACAGTGATGGAAAATGAGTGTGCATTGTGCCATTTTCGGTCCTTTCGGAAGCAGCCGGCACCTTCAGCACAATCGATTGATTTTCGGCACTATTTTTTCGTAACTCAATGCAACTAATAAATATTTCTTTCGGATCCGCAATTAAAAATATTTTTTTTACATTTAATCGTATGTCCTTAAACTGATAAATGATATAAACATAGAAACGCAAGCAAAAGAATCTCGCTCCCACATTCTGCATATGCGCTTAACATTTTTGCTTAAACAAATTTGTCCAAATTTCATCTCTAAAGCAAATATTAAATATCATTTAATATATACTTTAGATTTAAATAATCATTTTAAGTGGTGGGCGAGTCCGAGATGTTTAAATGATCGAGATAGTACATTCAATTCGCGTAGATTTTTGAGAACTTTTTTCGTTGAAGGTGTTGCACTTTTTTCCGTACTGAAATTTGTGTACATCATTTATCATTGTCTAAGAAAAGCTATAAAATAAAGCTTTATTTAAAATATTGGAATAAAAAACAACAACGCTACATGCGCATTCATCCATATAACATATAATGCGAATGTTCGTTATATGGAAGAAAGTGCGCAACACCGCAAACAGAAAAATTCAAAAAATCAATAGTATTTTCTAGACACTTCAAACTTGCACCTTATTATACTAGAATGAATGGGCTACAAAAATGTTAACCCAAAACATGTCTACAAATTCTGAACAAAAACTGTGAAAATTTGATGAAACTTTGTTGACCTTTTTCATTCTTTCAAGCTTCGATTTATTTGCGAGGTTTTTGTTTGATAATGAGCTACAATTTTATAAAAAAAATAATTAAAATTATTTAAAAAAATAAAATAAATACCGGGTGACCGTATGCAATGGGGTATAGTCGTTGCGCTGGGTATGCAGTTACAGTTGCATGGCTATACTCAATCCCGACTCTTGCGTCCTCGTTCGCGCACTCTGGGCAACGTGAGTAACCCATGTGCGAGATGCGGTAACCAATCCGAGTGGAGCCTTGGGTCACGGCAGAAAGAGAGGGTTTAAGGGCTCACTGAAGTCTGCAGCGTCTGTTCACCAGTAGGTGCGGCTGCAAGCGGGTGTCTGCTTGGAGCAAGCGGCTCGCTATATAAACGTGTATATAATAAATTCATAATTTTTACTTTACGTTAAACATTACGTAAACGTTTAAACAATAATTGGAATTGGGGCCGATGAGCTAAAAAAAAGTAGGCGTGGATCGCCCTCTTTTCCTGATTTTAACGGATTTTTTTTTTGTGCAAATTATCAGGGGTGGTGCTAAGGGGGCTAAACGTGAAATTTTCAATATTTTTAATTTATATTTCGAAAACTATTGAACCGATTTTAAAACTATGGACACAGTTGGAAAAGTGATTGAAGGACCTTTCATTCGATATATATTTATGTATATAATGTATATATATTTTGAGAAAAAGTACAAAAACCTAATTATGGCATTTTTTTTATAAAAATGTATGTTTTTCGTAAAAAAATACGTAATTAACTATGTTAACAAATATGATTATCAGAAAGAGCACAAAAATATCTTTAATTTGATGTATGACTTGTAACAAAAAATTCTTCTGCACATTATATTTGTTTAAATATATATTAAAACATCGTTTTATATGAAAAAGAAAAAGTGCTGCAGGCAACAATTTGGAATAAAAAATCCCGCGATGTTTTATTCCAAATTTTCATTAGCTGTATAGTAAACTATCGTTTTATATAAAAACTTAAAAAACGCCGCGGGTATATATTAAAGTACGCTTTTATATAAAAAAAAGACAAAAGCGCCGCAGGTATATATTATAAAGTATGCTTTTATATAAAAAAAAGAAAAAAGCGCAGCGGGAGAAAATTTGGAATAAAAAATCGGAACAACGTCGTCTTCGTATAACTTACGTAAACTTTGAAACTTTTTTAAAGTACAATCCCCTGAAACTTCAATTTGGGAAATATTTAGTTATTTGTACAACGGTTTTGTGGCGGTGGGCGGAGGGGGTGGGGGCGTGGCCCGCCAAACCCCCCTTAAACGAAAGACGATGGACTGCGCTTTATGAAAAGTCACCCGTCCCCCTTCATCGCCCACTGTTTGAAAATAGGAAAAATTTGGATTTTTCGCAAATGGATTAAAAAAACCCTCACTAAGTAGAATTCTCCATTTGGTGTTGCCGAAGAAGGGGGGTTCATCCATCTTTTGCTGAGATATTTCATGGATATTTTTTGTGTTCGACAGCTCATCTCGGAAATTTGCAAAAAAAAATACTATATTTTAAACCGAAATTATTAATAAATTAATGCACAGATATAGTAAGTTTTTTTTAAATAAAGCGTAGACTCTTGTCTACAAGTGTGTACATTTTTTTTATTCGGGACAGCAACCCTAAATCGTTGTACAAATAACTAAACCGTACCCCACTAATTAGGTATATCCATATTTTAGAACTATTTCCAAAATCTAGTGGTTAAGCAAAGACCCTATCTACAGTGAATCCGAACAATGGGTCGCATGCATAAAACCTAAGCAAATTAATGGATAAGGATTGAGCCAAGAGCATGTGTGAGCAAATCCAATTTTTGGCAGCAAATGTCAGTTACGGGGTTTTGCAGAATGACGATTTGTACTTTAAACGACGATACATATATTATCTGTTTAAAACAAATTGTTACTTTGTAAAAGTAAATAGATTTTTTAATTGAAATGTTACCTTATTGTTTTAAACAAATTACTCCTTTGTAAAAGTAAATGAATTTTTGTATTCAAATGTTAACTTATTGTTTTAAACAAATTTCTCCTTTGTAAAATGCTATTTCTTTATAACAAATTGCTACTTTGAAAATGTACCTTATATCAAGAAATTGTAACTTTGCAAACGACTAGACTAGTATCTCGTCATTCATGAAGTTACAACAAATTATGACACATAATAATTACGTACATATACAGCCCACGACTAGATATACTAGATATGGGTCATTCCATGTAAAAAGGAAAACGACTTAAATTTAAATATGCCCTAATTATCTCTATTTCAGTAGTAGCCTCTTTTTAAATGACTACATTTCATTAATATGTTAAAGAATATTAAGTAAATAAAAACAATGGAATGTGAAAAATTACAGAAAGTGTTTTTATAGACTGTACAGAAACCCTAATCTTAAAAAAATAAAATATCATCGCTCATAAAAACATCGATATTTGAATTTGTCATCACTCTTACAACCATTTTTTCAATTTTTTGCCAAGAATAAGTAATGTAAAAATCTGTACATTTCTTTGATACTTACATTCTATGTAAGATTCTGACAAAGTACAATCTAGAGAACATAAACAATTGTAAAATGAACAAATTTGTTCTCCAACAGAACAATAACATCTTATTAGAAAATAAAAAATATCAGATTCATAAGGATGAATTCATGTTTTCATTGCATAGATAACTCCATGAGGTTCAATCTCGTGTCCTCCATGGCTAGGTACTATCTTCTCTTTGATGTTACTAGCTTCCTGCCACTGTCCATTGGTTCGCCGTGTATATGCAACATAATGTCCTGGTATTCTCTCTATTACCCCGGCTAGTCTGGAATAATAAATTTGTTCGGAAAATTTTATTTATTCCGCTGGTATAAAAATCTTTATTTGCAATTACCTGTATGAAACTCCATCGAAATTGAGATTTGTCGGAAAATCTCTCAACTTGCACCGTAAGGAAGCTTTACAGGTTAATTCAGGATGAATGTCCAATTCAATAAAGATGTGTAAATCAACAACCAAATCAACTATACATGAGCCAGGACACTGATCTTGTTGGCACTTTACTTTGTATAATCTTTGATGGTATTCCAAAGCTTCTTCTAGAGCTCCAAATTTTTTTCTAGCAAGGATCTTGTGATTAACGCCCAGTGAATGCACATGTGACACCCTTTGCTCACATGTATCACAAGACGAATAACGAAATGCGCTAGGCTCAGACTCTAGGCAGGCATTCCACACTGCACAAACATTACTCCAGCAATTCAACGAATGATTCAAAACTCTATTTCGAGTTTCAAGCGCTACTGCTCCGCTAAATTCTGACATCAAAATGTCTGCTCTTTTTCTGTACATCTCCTTTGATGAATTTTTTCCTAATCCACACTTATTCAATTCTACAAATTGCAGCGTTGGATTTTGAGAATTTTCCAAATTTTTCTGATAGAAAGAGTCATCCATCGCAGTAGCTAGTAATATTTGCACAATTACATCATATGGGCATGTATTTGAAATGTGATAGGTTTTGTTTTCAAATTGCACTGCACCGAGCTTGTTACCATTAACCAATAACCACGATTTTCTGCTGTCATAAGGATTAGAATTTCGATAGGAAATACCAGGGTACGATCGAAAATATTTCGCTTTTGCATTCTGTTTAAGATTGAAACATCGAAATTTTGCTGGTTGAATATTCTCTTGATTTTCTATAGAAACAGTTTGACCCTGATTTGACCCTTGATTCGGACCTGAACTCTTTAGTAAAACCTCATTCGTATTAACCTCACTTTCACCTGACTTGCGTCGGTCTTCTTCGGAAGCTTGAATAATATCCTCTTCTAGGTTTTTGTCAATTGGATCGTTATCCTTCGAAAGTCCTGAACCAATTCCATCTCGGTTATTGGTATTGGATACATCATAAAAATAGCATTCACTGTTGTATATTCGATTATAAGGGACTCGCGTTGAGCATGGAGCATCATCATCGTTAGAACGATCTTCTTTGATTTCTGTACTAAGAGTATTTTTTGGAGGTGGTTCTATTGGTGAATTTTCGTCAGATGAATCATCAATAAAAACATGATCTCACGTGCCTTTATTTCTCCAATTGTCAACTGAGGTAGTATCTGAGTGATCTAGGGATGCACGTTTTGTGAATTGCTCCTGATTCTTAAATACATCTACAGTAGCACTAGAGGATAAATGAGGTGTAGGTGGACATGGCTTGAATATTGGAGGAGGGGAAGGAATGTTGTGCTTGATCATGCCTTCTAAATTTGTCTCCATAATCTTCGCTCTTTCCAGGCAATCGTCCAAATCGATTTTAATGTACCTGTCAACTCTCAGAAGTCCTTTGTAATTCTTTAACATTTTGGTCTTTTTCTCACAAAAATATCCTTCGACAATAGCTGAAGAGTGGCGTTCTACATAGAATGGAATACCGCAACAGCTCCACAATGGAAATTCGTAAAGAAAAAGTATCAGTCTATTGATCAAATTCTCAGCATAAAAAGCATTGGGTACTGCACCCTGACAGATTATTTTAGCGGCCTCTTCCCTTATCCCATGTATAAAGTTCTTAACACGACTATAGCTCGTGGTGTCTAGATTACAGTCATTGAATTTACTTTCAGCTGTCTCCTGACTGGTGCATTCTGTTGGTACATTTATCACCAAATTTCGGTCAGCTATATACTTTTCAAGTAGCAATCGACAATCTTTGACCGTGCCATTAGGAATAGCGGTGATTATACAATCTTCTGTTAGATGCAATCCTACCGTCAATGTCAGGCGAAGAATTTTTTCGAAATCCTCAAGATTTTGGCAGTCAATCAGCAAGGCTACGCAAAGAAGGAAAAACTCACGTGTAATGGGAAGTGGAATGCTCTTTAAAGCTGGCCAGCCACATATATTCTAGGTAACATGGGCCACATCCTGACCACTATATGTGGAAATTGGAGATCGAAAGTAAAATTCTGGATTATTCGATGCATATAAAAAGCAAGTTTCGATGTACGCTTTAATTGTTTGATTATTAAATGCACGACATATACCATTAAGAAGGGCTCTCGAACCATCACAGAAAACTCGTTTAGGTTTCGGTGCTGATAAACGACACCACTTCTGTAATGCCCAAGTGAACACTTCAGTTTCTTGGCTCTCTGTAAGTATGTGAAATACCGGCATTGTTGTGTGATCGAAGTTAATTACAACGGCATACAAAAATATATGGCTTGATTTTGCACAATCGATATGCATAATTTGCTGTACCAAGCTTCCTGTACCGTCAATTGCTATACTCGAATTTTGTTGTGTAACGCGCAAGTATTGTTTGTATGCATGAAGTTGGCTCGGAGTATTGTAAAACACGTAGAATTTATCTGTTTTAATATCAAGTATGCATCCACGATCAGGTACAGTTCTAGCCATATTGGAAATCGTTCTTATGACGTCGGTACCATCGGTTGCTTTCACGTTGTACTTCTCATCGTTAAATCTTTGTGTAGCTTTATGTAGTATAGGCAATTTGGGTATGTGAGGTCCTGGTTTTTGCTCTCTCACAGCTTTTTTCTGCCAATTACTTGCTCCTTAAAAAAACGCCTCGCTCCCGACAATTTATCGTTTTTCTCCTCTCAGTGGCCGTCGTACGTCTTCATGGGGTTGCATTGCTGTATCACGAGTCTTTAAAGTCATATAGAAGTCACCATCGCCAGGATTTTCATCAAGGTACCCGAAGAATTAATTGTTACATCTTTTACTGCGACAGTGTCCTATTATTTTTAAATAATATCTACTGCCACCACCCTGGTAGATTCTGGCATATTTAAAAACGAAGGCACAGGGTAATTGGGTTTGATTCCATACTATCAGTGCCAGGAGATCGGCCCAAACATTCTTTTGCAATACACGATAGATTCTGTCCCTAAATTCAGCTGGTTCGGGATTAAAAATAATCTTCCACTCGTCTGCTTTAATAAAAATTTTGAATGACTGTAAGTCAGCGTCTTCATCTTCAGTCTCAAAGTCACTCAACACTTGGGTAACATCTGTTAAAGAACTTAACTTTGATTGATCTTGAGAAGCAATCACCTCTATTGTAGATTCCTCATCCAGTAGTATCCCTTGTGAAATACGAGCCTTTGTTAATATGTCCCGTCTATTTTCTCTCACGTTAACGTACACAAATTTTTTCGACCATTTCTGAATTTTAGAATTGGGATAATAATGGTAATTGATGTGTGCTAAAATGTTTAATGTTTTTCTCAATGACTGCAATGGCCTCGCTTTGGCAGACAGCTGATTTTTTTGGCATCCTGTTCACCAACCATCGCCTGAAAAGGGGCCAGGATAAGAAATTAAATTACATTCTTAGGGCTGGTTTCTCCAACTCAACTTAAACTTAGTTTGGACTTAGTCAAGAATAAGCTGATTAAAAAGTAGGCTAACTTTTGGCTTAGGTTAGCCTAGGTTAGCCTACTTTTTAATCAGCTTATTCTTGGCTAAGTCCAAACTAAGTTGAGTTGGAGAAACCGGCCCTTAGAGTACAACTCCACAACCAGCTATTCAAAATGGGGGAAAACCCGCTGCTTCTGCTTACAAAATTCCACTACTGTTTAAACTACGCCAAACAAACAGCGATTTTTTTTCCGGATTTAGTTAATTATTAAACGTAGATGAAATTTATATCACTTTCACCATTTTTTTTTTAACAAGTAGCCAAAACACAAATTGGAATATGCAAGCATGTTTAATTAAACACCTAGGGATGAAACGATACGAGTAAACACAAGTACATACTCGATACTTTTCGTTCGATACCAAGTAATTTTGGCATCGATACTTTTGAACCAAGTACTGAGCAGGTATCGAGAAAAAAGGGTAATTGTGCACTTTAGCGTGCCCATCGAAAATTGACCTAAAATAGTCAAAAGGCGTATCAAACGATGCGTATTACTGCCGGTGTTAAGAATCCGAAGGCGGAAATTGATTTCGTTTAACCGTTCAAAAGTTATTGACAGGTCAACTTTATTAATACTAAAATTACATTAATAAATGCACGAAATGAATGCGTATAGGTATTTACATGTTCACTATGGTTTACTTTAACTGAATTCGTAGCATGAAATTACGAAACTAACCGATTTATTGAAATATCAAAGCGATAACTACCTGCGAAAAACCAGCGTCTCCTTTAGGGCCGATTTCATAATAAAAGTAAAGAATGTTTTAAAATTTAAAGGATGCTTTATTTAGCTGATCGTTTTCATAAAGCCACTTTAAAGATAAAGGTACCCATAAAGGCTCTTTAGTTAAATACCCAAAATGGAAATTTAAATGACATCAAGTTCCCTTTTGTAAGAAAAACAAAGTATGCCATTTTCGTAGTATAATTACATACTTACGTTTTACTTGAATGGTTTAAGGAAATCAATTTCGGCCTTCAGATTCTTAACGCTGGCAGTAATACGCATCGTTTGATACCCCTTTCGGCTATTTTGGCTCAATTTTCGGTGGGCACGCTAAAGTGCACCACTACCGAAAAAAGTACTCGTATCGAAACCCGGTACCGAGTTAAATTTTGCTCATCAACGCTACATCAAAATATTGTTATTTAATAGAAAAATACACAAACTTTTTATTTTGAAAAAAAAAAAACATTTTTTTTTGAGGTCGCGCTAGTCGGTTTTTTATAAAAACGCTGATGTTTTCAATTTTTTTATTTTCGTGCAGCTAAAAATGTTGAAATGTTGTTTTTACATGCAGGTATTATTGGGGAAATGCCGCGCGTAAGTGAAAAAGAAAAGTTTTTACAATTGTATTTCGAAACAGCATTAACTGACAAACTTTTCTTGAAGTATTCGAGACAATAAAATATCATGGCACATATTCATAGTCATATTTAGTTCACAACTAACAGACCTATTCTGCTTGTAACCGAACATTTTGTAACAAGCAAATTCTGTTACCAACTATTGTCACCACTTCTTGTACCCGCAATTCTATTTGCCCTGGTAACGTTTTAATTTATTCAGCAATTCAGCTATGGAGTTTTGTGTAAATTCTGGTGTTGCATATTTCACGGGGAAATATTTTGTTACCTGCTCATGAGATGGTAACAAAATTTACCGGTTACAAGAGTGTGGAGAATACGAAAAGGGTTTAAAAATTGACAGTAACTTTACTAACCGGTAACAAAATTTTTGTTACCAACGCAGAATAGGCCTATAAGTCGAAACTATCCTAAGTTACAACTAAAGCTGTTCATAGTCGCCTTAGTTTCGACTCTTCTGGCTAAAGGCTGGTAGGCAGCTCTTAAGAAATCGGTCAAGAAAAATTTGCCATTATTTCGTGTGTGTGTCCAAG